ACTTACAGATAATAGTTGAAGGAAATGGACAGTCAGAATACTGGAATGTGCTGTCTGTAAAAGAAAAAAAAAATCTTTTATTTTTGAAGTGATTCAAGTGACAGCTAACATCAACAGTTATTGTAGCAGTGTGAAATTTTGTTAAAGAATTTGATTTTAAAATTTCCTTTGGCCTAGTGCAGTCTAAATTATTTAAGCAAATATGACGACACCTATACTGGTGAACACAGGGCTAAGTCTAAGGTCCTGGGTCTGGTCACACACATTCTATCCATGCCCTGATTTCCATGTTGGGGCTGGATTTAGCCACTCACCAGTTACAAATTTTTGACTTGCCTCCTGTGGGAATGAAATCCAGGCACAAAAGATGCATGAAATCCTGATATTAATCAGCCAGGTTCCTTACCTGGATGATCACAGACCAAGACTGGGATGCACTACACATTGTGTCCACCCCATGCAGATATGGATACCTTGTTTGATTTGAAATTTGATTAAAGTTCCAAGGTGCTTTGTCAGAAGTGCTGGGTCTCACTAGGTCTAGTTCTCATTCAAAGCTGTGAAATTCTATCCAGAGTCCTATAGCAGAACATACAAAAGCAGAACCTTGCCTTGTGAACCAAAGGAAAAAAAAATCATGACAGTTAGTAAAACAGACAGGAAAACCTTCTACCTGAACAAATAGCATGTCAGTAGGAGTGATACATGAACACTGACATATAATGATTTAACTTAAAAAAAAATCCACAAAGAGGCTTGGTGCACATTTGTATATTCAGTTCTCACAAGCACTGCTAAGGAATGGATCTGACAGGAACATGTGCGGGATCTGTTTGTGGAAATTTCATTTCCCACCCCCTCGGAGCCGAAGTGGCATTGTGGTGGCAGGTCTTCTCACAAGTTTGTTTAGGAAACGGCCTTCACGGCCTTCTTGGTAGCCGCGGCTTGTGAACAAACGGCAGAACAAGAGCTGTTTATCGCACAGTGTAAAAGAAATGACTTGGTTAATAAAACAGCGGTTTGGCGGGCACTGGGCGAATTAAAAGTGTGAGGTTCCCCTTGTAAACTACCTGTCACGGTGCAAACGGAGAGCGCACGGAATCCTCTCCTCAGCGCGCCGCGTGCCGACCAGCGGCGGGCGGGAAAGCGGCCGTTGGGGCGGGGCCCCGGCCTCTGGGGCTGCGGCGCGCGCAGAGCCGTTGGGGCGGGGCCGCGGCCGCTGGCGCGCGCAGAGCCGTTAAGCGTCGTCCCGGTGTGAGGTGGAAGGCTCTTCTCTCCGCCTCTCCTGTCAGCGGTTAATACCGGTCGTGTTGTCGTCCTGCTCCCATTGGGATGCGAGCCAGAGCAGGGTGAGGAGCAGGGGGTGGGCTCCCCCCACCTCAGATCCGCCCTCAGTCTGGATGGGTTTTCGTGCCTGCCTCAAGTAACGAGGCAGGAGCGCCTGTGTCCTCCTGAGGAGGAGGAAGAAGAAGGGCAGAGAGTGGGAGGGGAGAGGAGAGAGGTGGAAGTAGGCAGCTGGGCGGGTTAGAATGCAGGTTGTAACTGGAGCGTGTGTCTTCAACGGGCTGTTGAGACATGGTACCATCGATGTAGGAACTGGGAAGACTCGGGGGCAAAGAAGAGGTATATGAACGTCCTCTCTTAATGAAGAGGGAATGTGGCTCAGAGGGGCGTTTCTAGTACTCTGGTGTGTCATGGAAGTGGTTGCTTTTTGCTCAGAGCTGTTTTGGGATTTTAAACTGACTTACGTGGCATGAATGGTATAAGCAGTAGGCAAAAATATATTTAATATAGGGGTTTTGACAGATGTCTTCTAGTGTAGCATCTCCTGCTTTTGTCCATTTTGCCAGTCCACTTGCCAGGGAAATGCATGCACTCACCTCTCCTGCCCTGTTTCTGGCATATTAGTGCAAGCACTCCTCTCAGCCTTCACCAGCAACTGCCTCAGCAAAATCTGAAAGTGCTTTCAGGGCCTTCTGTAACAAGTTGCTTATTTTTACTGGTTTGGGATGGCAGGACCCTTGTTCAAAACATGCCAATTCTGAATGCAGCCCTGAAGTTACCAGAGCTTTTGAAGCAATCCCTCTGAACAAATGCCATGAATCGGAGAGGGAAGGGGGGGGGAAGGGTTGGGATTAGGGGTTTCTGTCTTTTTGCTGTGGGCTTCTTTTTCTCTGTTGGGTTAAATCTTTTGATATTGCTTAGTGGATATGCTGCTTGGTTGGTTCATTATGTTTTAAAAAACAAGAGTAAACTCCCTTGGTATGAGAGAAATAACTCCAGCATATAGAGTTCTTGTAATTTATCAGAGGAATTGCCAAACGGCTAGCCTATAAGAAGCTACTGAATTCTGTAAGTACCTGAAAGAGTGATCACCTATTTTGTAAATGTATTAAACGTAACAGAAAAGGATGGAATCTTTCAACAAAGGAATAACTTCATCTATCTAAAAATACACCTTTTTATTTTAATAAATATAGAAGTAGAACAAGGGAATTGAGGAAAATATCCAACAAATTTTATTTCTTGATTACTTTTATGTAGTTTTCACAGCAAAATCACTGATACCTCTGTGGTGAGAATTCATTTTTCTGTGTAGATGCCATCGGGTTGGATTGACCAGCAAAACATTGTACAACAACAGATTAAAACTGCTCAGTGAAGTTAGTGAAAGATGGGTAACGTATAGAAGTCAGAGGATTAAATTTAGCAAGATGTAAAGTTATGAGATAAGGAATTACAACTAGTTAATAGAGAGCAAATGTTAAAGAGGCTTGGACAAGGTTAAACGAAGGCTGTTAAGGAAATCTGGAGGACATCCAAGGTGGAAAAGTATAGTATATAGTAGTTTGCAGCAATCCGTACCATTGACAAATTTTTAGATATTGTGTGTGGAATATTTTAATGGTACTTAAGAATTGGTGCTGCAGTGGCATTTGCAGTGGGTACTGCATAACTTCAAAATTTGCAGTGCTTACTTGTAATGACACGTGCCTACCACTTTAAGTGTTTCATAGGTGACCTATCAAACCCAAGTTCCAGTAGAAAAATCTTTATAGCAACAAACTAATAGGAAGATTTGTTAAGATAAAGACAACTGGGGAATGATTCAAGTGCCTGAGCATAGGTGTCTAGAGCCGTTTGGGACACCTTTGGGCTCATATAGCATCCCCATATCCAGCCCTGGCATACGTGGTTGAAGTCTGTGGGAGACCTGCGGTACCGTAGAGGCCTGTATGATGGATACCCTACAGTACCTAAAATGGCACTAGCTGCTTAGCTTAAGCAACTGAATCCCATTCCTCATGTCACAACGCAGATGATGGGACAAAGAACTTTAAATAAAACTAGCATTATCCACACCTCTCCTTAGTGTACCTATTAAAATAAGGAGGGTCTCTGTTCACCAGTGTAGTAATTTGCTTCATAAATGAAGCACTGATATAGTTACAAAGATCTAATGATTAGAAAAAGTGTAATAGGGATCACCTACATAACTCCACTTGTCTATATTGAATCTTGCAGTTAAGTGAATTGTGTTTTTGTCTGTTCTTAACCTTCAGATTACATTCATGAACTAAATAAGAAAGCTAAGAAATGCTGAGAAATGCTAACTGCAGTTAGTAAGGTTTAGACTTGGATTGCATCACAGTTTTAATATAGTGTTCAGAAAATTAAATCTTGGTCCAGCAGCTTTCTTCTCTGACTGTTGTTGTTCATGCCGTCTAAACTCCTGAGTTGAAGGTGAGCAATTAAAGGATTATCTTTCAAGGTTGAACCTTGAAAAAATTATGAGAGGAATGAATTATAAATAAAATTTTAAGTTTAACCTGGCAATACCAGGTACATTTCCCCATAAAATTATTATATCATCTAGGCAAGTCTGCTTAATTTCTATGAACAATATTTGATGCTTTTGCAGGGGAACAAAATCTTCTGTAAGGTGTTCTGTATACACCTTTTGTCTGACTTTCAAATCTTTTCCTTAAGTGCAGAAGATGCTGCTGAAATCAGTTGGCCATTGCATGACAGGGCCCAAATGTGATTGATTACCTCTCCCTGCCATTCCCTCCAACTGTTTCAGTACTCTCTTACATCTGTCCAAATCTTGTGGTTTTTTCCTCACCTGTGAGTAGTCACAATATGTACTCATTGCTCAGGTCTCTTTTTTTTCTTCTAGTTGAGCCTCTCTAATGCTGTTAGCTGGTGTCAGATTACCTCAACCTTCAGGCTGTCTGTGCCCTTTTTACCTCTAAATCAACTAAAAATAGCCAAACTGCTGTGGTTGAAATTTTCCAAAAATAAAATTCAGCCTGACACATGGACCTCATACAAATTTTCAGACTGAATGGTTTAAGACTGTTAAGATCTTAAGCAGCAGAATAGAGAGTCTCTAGCAGAATAGATGTAAGTATTGAGCAACCTCTGCCTTTTCAGAGTTTCCAGAGTTTTTTTACACAAGTACTATTGCATACTACACTTCAGGGTACTCAAATTTGCTATAATAGCAAATTTGTAAAACTTCACTCATGCCCATTTCTTAAATGGTTGCCTTGGTGGAAAATCTTATAAATGTGGGATTATTGATCTGGAAGTATGTTTTAAGTATTTTGTGAAGGTAAATGAAGATTGTCATGTGTTGCGTGGTTTGTATGAACTTTTATGATATGTACATTACAACTGTATTTGACCTGGGTTTTACAATAATGGCCTTTGCTTTCCTTCTTCCCCTTTCCCCTCTCATGTTCAACACAAACCTCATTGATTTCTGAGGGGCTTTGCCATTGACTTCAATGATGTCTGATTTAGGGTCTAAAAGCTCAGTGCTGAACTATGTTTGCAAGACTAGGAATGAGCCTGGGGTTTCTTTAAGTGGTCTTTTCAGTAGCAAGTTGTCAGTGAAATCAGGAACTAACAGTTTAGGAGGAGGTCCCAAATGGGTACTGCCCTCCCCCCCATTTTGACTCTCTTCCCCTCCTATTTTGTTTCTCATAGTCTAGGAATGACAGGCGACCATTTGCTGTCTCACTGTCAGTGCCTCTGGAGTCAAGCTGCATCAAGAGGAGTTCTTCACAGAGCTGTTTCTAGGATCTCTTGTTAGATTCTTGATTCAAAAGGTAAGATTGAAAAGGAATGAAGGGAATTTTCCACTTAGTGAAAGTACATGAAGTTGTGAATGGAACTATAGTTGTTTAATCAAATAGTTGCCTCAAAAGTTTGAGTTAAAAAGCTCATTTTCTTAACCAACTTTCTAGAAAAAGAACTTTTAAACATGACTTTTGTCACTTGAAGCTAGTAGCCAATGTTGTGCAATGTGTTTGCATGTTTTCCAAATATGAAAAAACATATTGGAATATTGGAAAAGGAAGGATAAAAAGTTGCATGGATGCTGTTATTCTAAAAAGTTGAACTTGCCTCCTGGTACTCTGCTGGATTTTGCATCTAATGCAAGGGAGGTTTATGTAAATGTACCTTTATCACCTCAGTGTTGAAAATACTGAATTACTGTACAAGGCAATTTTATACAATTATTTTTTATTTTAAAATATAAAAGGCACTTGTTTATAAGTGACGGGTAATGGAGGGCTGTTACATTCAATATAACACTCAGCGTGTTTCAAGAACTTTATGTACACTAAGACAATTTTCTGTTATGTAAAATCCATTTGGATTCCTCTTATTAAAGACAAGAGCTATATTCAGATCTAGTGAAGCCCAGAAGACATCCAACAGCAAAGAATTAGGCCTGGTGACAGGCATTTGGAAAAAATGCATAATGAATTGTTGCTATTCTCTCCTATTCCTAATCAGGTGGTCAATGTTAGGAAACTAATCCACCTTGGAACAAAGTTTGGTTGTGTTTTTATTCTTTGTTTTGTGGGGGTTTTTTTGGGTTTTTTTGTTTGTTTGGTTGTTTTTTTTTAATGATTACTCTTTAGCCAAATCCTTTTGAGTTGGAATGAGAGCAGAGGTCAAAATGGGCAGGAATGTCTTTAGTCTTTATTTCTGAAGCTCTTTGACCAGAAATGATGAATCAACTAAGTAGGATTTTTCTTCTGAGCCATGTTTTGATTTGAAACTGGTTGTCTGAGTTGATCAAGGAAATAGGGTGCTGTGCAGCACCAGGAACCCCATTGGAAGAATTAATCTGCATGTCAGAGGTCTGTCCATGTATACAGGCATGGTATGGTGGTGTTATGGTTTTGCTTAAATACTGGGGTTTTTTTGTCCCCTGTTTTTTACTTTGTGCTTTTGTAGGTGCTAGCTAACTAGCTGCTTGCCAACATCCAAAATGATGCAGTTTCTGAGAACCATTTCTCTTTTATTTTCATGCATATCTCAAAATTAATATATACGTAAGAAGTATCAATCACATATGCTACCGTTAATTTTGGGGTGGTTTTGTGCGTGTTTGTAGACAACAGGGAAGAAGAATTATACTATTTGGGTTGCTAGACAAAACAAATAATGCAAAGCTTTATATCACTTTGAAAATAGTTACATAAAATGGTATGTGATGGTGAAGCATCCAGGGGTAATGCATGGGTATGAAACAACAAAATCAGTTGGCAGGAGTAGCAGCTCTACAAAGAGAAGGGAAAAACATGGTTTTTTACTTCACTGCAGTCAAGTAAGAGATAGACATTTGTTAAGCAAAACAGTATAGTATAATGTTGCAATAGATAACCATCAGCAAATTACAAAAAGGGGAAACGAGGGGATTGCATTTAACAAAAATAAAATTTAAAAACCTTTTAGTAGCACATCATGGAATTTTTTTGCTGTCTATTTTTTTTAATGAGTTAAACAATATCCTATTTTTAGTGGAAGGTCAACCTGAACTTTATTTAAACAGTCTCTGGTTCTGAATAGAGATAGGAACACTTTAAAAGTGATAACAAAAGGGAGGGCTTGGAGCCAGACCTTCTTAACCTATCATTACCAGCACAGGATAGCCATCCATGTAAGCACTGTATGCCACTTAAATAGAGAGGCATCCTTGTTCCATGCTCAAAGTGCATGCAGTGAAAATAGCACAGAGACTCATGTGAAAGGATTTTTTTTTCCTTTAAGAATTTGAAATGGGTCCAAAGAGTGTTAATGAAAAACTTTTCTTTTTGAATGAAATGCTGCCATCTGATGTCACACCACCTTCTTTATTTGTCTTTTTTGAAGTAAATGCTTTTTCAATATCTTAAATACTACAAGTGCATTTACGAGACCACAAACTCCAGAACCTGCAAAAATATACCTAGATGAAGTGTTATGAAGATAAGGTTGATAAAGCATTTCTAAATCAGGCAGGATTGTTTAGATTCTGTAGTCCTGCGTAATGGTGTATATCCACTAGAATTTCATTGATATCAGTAGAATTATTTAGTTTACTGCTAATATAGTGAGAGCATTGTCAGGTTCACAAGTTTCCATGGTTACACTTCAGTGGAGAATATTTTCCTTGCTGTGGTTATAGGCTCAGGACCATAACACACATTTTTAGATAGCTGTTGGTTGAAAAGCGGAGTCTGGCATGCTAGAGCAAAGCCAAAAGTTCTGTAGCTGGTCAGGCTGTAGGATTCACGCCTCTGCTGGAACGTCTCCTAGAATTTGTCAGTGTGTCACAACTGGCTGGAAGTGCATGCATTCAACCAAGGCAGTAATTTTGATAGTATGTTTAAGAGAGAAGAATGTATTAGCTGACCTTAGTAAGAATAAGAAATACTAGTGTCTGGGTAACTTTGACATGAGTATGGAAGATAAGATTATATTCTTTAGATTTATAGTGTAAATTGTATTTGGAAACATTTTACTCTTCTTAACCTGTTTATTGGCCTCAGTTAAAGAATGTGTGAGTAAGGTGCTGTAGTGACTAGATGGTTGTATCCCAGCACTCCATCCCTGATTCTGCTACTGGCATTCTGTGTGATCTTGAGTAAATAGTTTTTCCTCTATTCTATTCCCTTCTACTTCCTTATGTGATATTGGAAGATGACCTCTGCTTGAAAAAGTGCTTTGATGGAATGCACTGTAGAAGAAGTAGGCATGACTATTAAACAAGGAAAAGAGAGCATGTTCTGAATGTTATAACCCTGGGAAAAATCTTCATTTGGTATCTCAGTAGATATCAGAAAGAGTGCATGAGACAATTTTGTTAAGGTGTAATACTTTCCCCATCTCAAACATTTTTTTTCATAAACCTTAATTAAAGCTTTTAATGCTTTCATGTACAGAACAAGTACATTTTAGCATTCTGAATATCTTAATTCATGTGTCAGCTAGAGGATTAAAGAAAAAATGCAGTGACTTTTTTTGTGACTTCTGTAAAGCCTGATTTGCACTTGCTGTACTGACTCTGTAGCAAAAGGACTAACAAATTTTATTCCCGGAGTGGTGTTGGCACCGATTGATGATGCTGTATAATAAATACTGAAATTAAGAACAAATAATAAAACATTCTGTTCCATGTCCTCAGCAATGCTTCACGTCTTGGAAGTTCTCAGGTGTCCTGTCCATGTGTATCTTGCTTAAAAATACTAATCCAGACTACTTTGTTTTATTATTTTTTTTCTTACCTTCCCTGTTTTTTAGAAGGCAATAGGCCTGTGTATTTTGAAATTGATAGTGTAATATGTTGTATGTCAGTGTAGAGTAACACACAATAGAAAAAAAAAAAAACCGAAGAAAACAAATTTGGTGCCAAGTTACTGGGTGAGAGCCTTATGAATCCCTTTGCTGTCCAGCTCAAAAGTCTGAGACTGAGTCATTGCCTCGAGACAGAAGTTGGCATACAATCAGAATGTATGGGAAAACAGTAGCTGTGCTGAAAATTATGAGAATAAGCACCACAAGTATCAGTAATGACATGTTTCATGTCATCTAATTGTTCAAAAGCTTTTTAGCTTTACATTTTTTTGACATATTTGTGTTCTAGTATATAGCTTTAAGGATGCCCATCCCCCTGCCACCCCTCCAGCAGCCACTGTGTCCTGTCAGTCATCCTGAAATACACTGGAGAGCTTGTCAGGCAGTTGCTTACAGATGCCTCAGAAGCCTAATAGTGAGCCATAGCAGTTACACTGAAGTTCCTAACACAAGGAAATTACATAGACAGTTGCTTTAGTGCTGAATATGGACCACATATATTCTAGGATAGGTGAGTGATGTGCTATTGGCTTTCTAATGATCTAGCAGGAAATGGATTCTAAAGTTAATGTTTTCTAATTTATGGAGAATATCTTTGGCTCTGCTTTCTGGCACAAAATAGTTTATCTATGTATACAGTGTACTTACAGATTGTTTAAAAGCTGCAGGTACTATGTTCACATTGTATTGCAGATGGATACAGACTTTGTTTTTCGTGTGTCTTTTTTTCTTACTCTAAAAGACTCAGCAGTTTCAGTTTGGACACGTGCTGAAAAGACAAAATTCTCATTATCTTACAGTTTGTAGCACTTGGTAGGAGTGCGCAGGTGGTTGCTTTTCTGGCTGTTCTGAGACACAACTATCTCGTGACACATGCTTAACATCCTAAGTGCTGTAAGAGCTCCTGGTCTATAGTGCTGAAATTGCCTACTGTAAAGGTTAATATAACCAAGTGTGAGGTTATAGCAGCCTTATACCAAAATATCTTGCAGTTGAGATCCCTACTGTACTTAGAGGGCATATTATACCTGAGTAGACATATGCATTTAAAAAAAAAAAAAGATGGACTGTGATTCTCATTTTTTCCTGAGGCAAGCACCAAAATTTGTTGTCTTAATGAAGATGATCTTGAAGGACAGAAGTTCACTTTCTAAGTGGAAATATCAGAGAAAATCCCAGAATGATCTTTACTGGCTGCATATTTTTCTTTCTATCACCTACTACCCTTGTCCTGATTTAAAAAAACCCAAACAAACCCCATCTATTTAAATACTGATTAGCTAATATGGTAAATAACAGTAAGGAGAGCCTGGTAAGTTAAAAATACGTGGTTAGGGTATCAAAATAATTTAAGATGTTGTAGGTTTCACTGCATTGGCTTGCAAGCTTGTTTTCATATTTTGGCTGCTTTAAGGAAGTTTCAGGAAGCATTAGAATTTTACTTAAAAAAAAAAAAAAAGACTGGAATCAGCAAGTGAGCACTTAAGTACGTTATTTATACCTTAGAATATAATAGAAATTTTCAAAAACAATAATTTTGGCAATTGGCTTTCAATTAATGATAAGTTATGGGCCTGACCCAAAGTTTAAAAGTTATTGTTGAGTTCAACAGCCAGTTGAGCCAGGGCTGAAGCAAAGAATAAAAATGCTTATATTGTACAATATGCTAAGGTTAAAAAACAAACAAACAAAAAACCCCCAAACAACCGAAAAACCCAGAAGAGGGAAAATTATAGCACATGGATTCACATTTTTCTGATCTGCAAAATGAGGTTGGATTTGTACCACTTCCCGGGTTTGAGACTGCTCAGTGGTAGGATTCTGGAGCACAGTGATCTCTAGTAAGAGGAAGTGACTATAATTACAACTACATTTTTATCTGCCAAATTTTGGAAAAGATCTGATCATTTTAGAGACCTGTAGTATAGGAAATTGTGCTGTGAAAACAGAGAGCAGCTCTTGCTGCAAGCAGCAAAGGTTTCATTTTTGACTTTTCAGTAAAGCAGTTGCTAACATGCTTCTATCAAGGAATTGAGGGGAAGCCACTGTGAAGTTAAAGCGTGAGTGTATCACTAGGTGATTTTCAGGTTAAACCTCAGTAGAAGCATGAAGTGCTATCTCCATCCAGTTCTTACCTGTCCTCTTGCAACTGATGTATGTCTTGACCGGAAAAAATTCACAGCACAATCAATGCCATCTATTTGCAACTGTTGTGATGGATTTCAAGGAGTACTCGTATACTGGGAGGCTTGTGAAAATGTCAAAGATAAGGGTTGTGAACCAGCAATATCATAAAGATTTTTTTTTAATGTGAATAAAAGACAGATTAATTGAAGTGTTGGCCAAAGATTTAGAGAACCAGTGAATTGCAGGTGGTAAAAAAAAAAAAAAAGTCTACCTTTTCAAGAGTGTAAAATGATGTGGTTTGATGCAAACCCAGTGAAGCTGGAGGAGAGTATCTTGTTGAATTAAAAGGCTTTTTGATTCAGGGGTGGACACAGCAGAAGCAGCTTTTCAGCAGCATGGATTCTTCTCTGCTGTATGTTCATAGGCTGCACCAACATGGTGATGGGTAGGCACAGACATGACATGCTATTTGCCAATGCTGTAGAGTCAACCAAAAGTGGCATACACTACTGTTTTATTATGGGAGAGGCAGTTTAAGAAGCTATTAAATAGCAATGCAGTTTGGAATTGAAGCTAATGGAAGAGCAGGGGTGTGAATGACAGACATTTGTAGCTTTCAGAGCAAGTTATTAGTACTGTAGGAAAGTTTACTTTCACAGGTTAAAAAGGATCTCCCGTTAATATTGGCTGTCTTTTAATTCAAGAGATTGTGTGGAGGTCTGAATGTCAGTGGGAACTTGGCTTCCAGGTTACTGATAGCTCCCTTGCTAGTATAGCAAATGTTGCTGGAAATAGCTATATAGCTGTAGCTATAAGAAAGCTTGAATTTTTATCTACTTTGTAGACACAGAACCTTTCTGAATATTCATTGTTCAATAAAATGATGCAGTTAATAGGTGTTGGCCCTTTGAGATTGCATTTTGTACTAGACCTCTCACTCTCGAGGTTTAGAGGCTTTACTTACATAGTTATATATTTAGTGTATTTCCAAAGAATTATATGGTTGAGAAATTGGTTTTAGTTTCTATACATAAAGAACCGATGGGTATTAACAGTAAGAATCACTATAGGTAAAATAAAAAGTAGAAAAAACCCTACAACCTGCTTGTGTGAGTACAGAGTGGGCATGTCTCTGGCCTGAGCTGTAAGAATAAGCTCTTGTTGCAGAGCTCAGCTCACCAAGGATGTTATGTGCACAACGTAAGGAAACCATGAGGTGTTGCACTTTCATGATGACCTAAGTTGTAGTTTTATGAAGACCTCTGGGTGACTGTGAATTTGTCTCTTGGTGATTCCTCCACTAAACAGCAGATGGAAAGAGCCTGCCTTATTTCTTGCTTTGTTGCATATCCAGTGTATTATTGAGAATCAATAGCCTGACTATAACAAACATACTGGGCTAGATGGACTGTTGATCTGATTCAGTAGGACATTTATTATGTTGAATGTGCTTGTAGATATTTTGAGTTCGTTCACTTTTGATGTCTTCTGTCTCTTGTGGTTCTTCTTGGTCTGAAATGCTGCAAACAAAGTATTTTGCCTTTTGGGAGCATGCCCTAACCACCAGCCTCTACAGGTATGCTGTGTTTTCAGCCTGTTTTGTTCTGAGCTCAGTGAGTAAATAAGTAGTTTACATTAAGTACAGCAGAACCAGCAGAAGATACCGAGTCATCCATCTCAAAGCACTTTGTAACAGCTGCAATGAGGCTTTGTGAGTAAGAGGTGGGGTCTGTACACTTGCACAGGTACAACTTCATCACATGGGGGAGGATATATAACAATTTGAGCAAGCAGAAGGGCTGCAGTCCTTTTCCTGACAAGGAACCTCCACTTGTTTATGAAACAGTGAATGATGAGGGGGCTCAGTTTCCTTCAAACAGAGGGACAAGTTGAACTGGAGTATTTCAAAACTGTGAGAGTATCTTACCTACTGATTCATTGGACAGAAAGAGAACTGCTGATACTGGCGATTTTGGGAGTCTCAAATTTTATTTCCCTGGGGTTTGTTACAAGTATGTAAAAGTTAAATGCGTAAAATATGGCCAAATAATTTGCATTGACATTTCTAGAGTTCTCTTTCTATTATTAATTTCCATGGAAGGGAAAGTAATTCTGGTCAGTCTGATCTCAAGTTTTTGTTCTCTTTATCTTTTGACTTGTAATTAAAACTGAAAAATCAGTTCTTTACATATGCTATCACCTGACTCTGTGCAGCTGTGGGAACTTAGGGCTGTGACTAGTATAGCTTGTAATAAAAGAATAACTTGGCACTTGCATAACCTTTACGAAGAATGGCAAAACCCTAAATTACCTTTAACCTTAATTCTTTAATTATCATTCATACTATCGTTGCTTGCAAGTGAAATGTGGCTAACTATTCTGTGATAAACAATTCGGATCCATTTCTACGCAACTTGCTATAGAAACCCTAATGCTACTGTGTTGTATTAAATCAATACTAGGTTCACTGGAAGGTGACAATCTATTTCTTTAGCCTGCACAACTGCAGTACCTTATTACTTTATTGTACAGCAGCAATGGTTGTAATAAGTCCTGCTTAAAAAAGACAGATATGCATTATTTGTGTATTTGAAGTCTTTATTGGCTAAAAAGGCTTTGCTGAGCTGTGTTTTATGGGAAGTTAAGTTACTGGAAAATTTAAAATGTCTTCTATTTTGGGACAATAATCAGTTGCATTCCTGCTAAAGCACAGTTATAATTCTTTGTTGGCACACACACATTTCACTGCAGCTAAAGACCTGAGCCATGGCCCAGTGAACTCAGTGAAAACCCTTAAATTAACATCAGTGGACTTTGGATCAAGCTCATAATGAATGATTTATTCACTTTAAAGACCTAACTTAGCTTTACTTCCATCTTATTGACTTCAGTAATAGACTTTCTTGACTTAATCTGTCTTGACACTTAGAAAATATTTGTTATTACGGGGTGTAAAATAACTAAATGTTTCACTTTCTCCTGCTATTAATTGCCAGGACTTTTAAGGGCTGCTGTACGTATTTTTGTTCTTAAAGTGTTTATTATGACCACTAGTAATTTGGCACATAGAATAAGATACAAGTACTGTGCACATAGCATTAGTGGTTTTGTTTTGTGATAAGCTCAGTAATGTAATATTTGCTTTAAAGCTCTTTTTTATTGACTAGTAGAGAACTTGCATTCAGAGGTCTTCTAATGCAATTATCCTTGTGTATTTTTTAGTATATGGTCAATTTAGAAATCTGGAAGAGAAGACAAGGAATTATATGTACTTTGAATCTATTATTTTACAGTTTATGCAAGTACCTGCATTTTTTTTTTTCCCACAGTTTTGAAATGAGGAATCAGAAAAGTTCATCTGATCTCTTGAAATCCTAAGCCTGTTATGGAACCAAGTTTGTACTCCCATAAGCAGTCTCTGGGCTCAGACAGAGGGCAATGAGACTTGTGGTCATGGCTAATAATTGCTTATTGCATTTTTTTGTTGTTTTTTTGTACCTAGGTGAAATGTCAACAAAAGTGCCAAGCATTAAACTGAAAATTGATCCTCGGGATCTGCAGATCCAGACGTTTACAGTTGAGAAATTATTGGAACCATTGATAATTCAGGTATTTTAGTATTGCAGAAAATAAATTGGATAACCATAGAGGGAAGGGAATAAGGCTGAAAACTTTGGCTAAGGACGCTGCTATGAAAGGCATACCCACAACTCTTCTGCATTGTAGTTTACTCTGGCTCAGAAACTGTCCAAGGGGATCTGTCTTCCTCCAGATATGGTCATTCGTTTAGTCACTTCCATTTTTGCAAATGCCACGCAGTATGTCGTAGCAAATATTGCATGTTCTAGCTAATCTCTTGTACAGTATTATCTAGTGGATGTTTAAATGTAGAATACACTGCAAATGGATTTCCAACACATGAAAAGTTTCATATTGTAATTGCTGGATGGAGTGGAAAAGAATAGCCTTGAAATCTGTAGGTGAGCTTCTTTATCTGAATTTTGAAAAGAATTGCATTCTCTTGCATTTTAGAAGAGATACCCAAAGAACAGTGCAATTGTTGCGTACTGTATAAACCTATGTTAGTACTTTTCCTGCCAACTAAAGAAGACTTGGACAGAGGGATTTACAAATATGCTTTCAGGTTTGTTGATAAAACTTTCTTTTTAGGAGGAGCAATTTTACTGCATATTCCAGTTCTGTTTCAAGTATTCACTGGTTAAATATGCAGTGCTTAGTGTGTTAAAGACTCTCTCATTATCTCTATATTTGGCGTGGCTTAGAAATGTCTTTGTGTAATGCAATGGAAAGGACCTACTCGAAGACCTGACCTCATTTTGCAAATAATGTGTATAACTAAGAAATTGTTAAAAGACCTCTGTAGCAATATGTTACAGGGTAAAGAACAGAAGGGACATCTTCTATTTTGAAACTCAAGCTCTTTTGAATTTTCTCTTCATTGTACTTGGAACAAAGATGTTGGGGTACCTGCATTTAATTACTCAATTACACATAGCACAAGGATGCCAGCTTATCACTGTCTTTTAGCCTTTGCCAAGATGATGTAGATCAAACTACTTGTCACAGCTGTACACTGCCTGTTTAGTATTCCTTTCCTGGTGCATGGGGGAAAGTTTACATGGCAGTCACTGCTTTGGCTGCAGTTTGTGTAGGTACAGAAAGGTGTGACTTAATTCAGAATTTTCTTTCACTTGCTAATGTACAAAGAATACTTTCTTGTTTTTCAGGTTGTGAAGGTGGTCAGGTATAATAGCTATGAACTAGTTTCAGTGGTTGGTTGGTTAAGATCTTTCCAAGCTCTTTGAGTAATGCCTCTTACAAGACAATAACTTTTTGTTAACTAGGTTATGTTAACAATCAGCAAACAAAACTGGTAACTGGGAGGATGACTGTTGGTAAATAGAGCAAATCCAGATTGAATACTGTACTCTGGGTATTATACTATTTAGATACAAGTAAGAATTGGGGGTGTACAGCTTATTAAAAAAAAAAAGTAAGGATATATCTACGAATTTTTTCAATTTGCAACTTTTCTATTTTAAAAAAGAGATAAATAAAGTCATTTTAATTAAGACTGAAACAATTATTATTGTACTTGGACAGATATTAAAGGAAAAAATATTTTTTCTTGTACAACTCATGGGCTTCATTTGACTGCATCCCGCCGCTTAGGTTCATGGTAAATTTTGTTATTCCAGGAATGCACTTCTTTTCACACACACTGCTCTGATGACATCTTTCCTTCTTTGTCCTGGGAGCCAGTCCTTTGCATGTTGTTTCCCTGGGCTTGCCGAAGGGTGGTGACCAGATACAGGGTAACAGTCAGTTTATAATTACAGAGGCAGCACATAATGATTGGAGGGAAGAAGAATATAAAGATGAAAGATGAGGACAATAAAATGATGAGTATGTTTGGTGTGATGGTTCTTATGTTTGTTTGGACTTTCATGTTGGAAAAGTCCTTTATTTATTCCAGAAGTGCTGTATGTGCTCTAAAGGCTAGGAAAAGCAAAGACGTGCTGATCATGTTTTATAACAGTTCTAGGAAAAGTTGCTTTTAAAAATCAGTTAGTTCACTGAAATAAGTTTCTTTTTAACAAATAAAGTTGTGTTTTCCCCATTTGAAACTTTGGCTGCTCCCTAACTCATCCAGTTTTTTATTTATTTTTCATTATAATCTTCAAAATTTCTTCTCTTATTTTTGACTTGATCTTCTTTTCCTCCCTTACTCATTTGTCCCTTCTGGAAGATTCTTTTCTGCAGAAAGTAACCTTTTTTTTAATCATTACTTCATTTCTAGCTGTTATTAACTGAGCTGCTTCTCACTCATTTTGTCTGCCTTTATTTATTTATTGTTGGCTGGGTGTGATTGACGGTGTATAAAACCTCAGTTAACAGTTCAGTGGTTTGTGGGAAGTCGTCAAGCTGGAGCATCGTGTGTGGATGGATTATAAAATTAGTTTCAGAGTAGTGGGAATAAATGTCTTCATAGACTGCATTTTAAAACCTTCTCTTGTATACCAGTAGGTCAGGCTGTGCTCATGCAGCTGCAAAACTGTGGGTATTTTTAGAGGAGATGAAGAAATGTAAATTTTTGCAGGATCAAAGAAACCTGCCAAAACAAAGAAATACAGTTGCAGAACAAAACAAGGAAATCATCTAATTTTTTTATTTTTATTTTTTTAAAGCTCTTCTCACACATCTTTAAAAAGCTCGAGTCTTAAAAATGGAAATGCTTTGGTTCAAAAAGAATATGATATTGACTGTCTTTCCCCCCTCTCAACATCAATTCTTTGTTTCATAACAGAACTGTGGAAGGGAAACTTGCATTTTGAGGGGGAAGGAGACAAAATATGTTGAAAATGCAAAAGTGGAGTTTAAAACTAATACTCAATGAAGGATGATTGAGATGCTGGAAAAGCAATAAATGAGAACTGATCTATGATTAGAAAGAGAATCAGACCAGTCACAGATAAAAATGAATAGTATTATGCTCTGGCCTGATTCACTTAGCAGCTGCTGCTTTGAACACAATTTAACCTTATTTTGAGGTTTACGTTCTGATTTATTTATTTAATAGTCTTGTGTTGCTCTGGTAGGAAAGAGGCAGTGGAAGTGCTTGAGCTTCTCTGAAGTCTGTCCTAGCCAGTTATGCTCAGTGTTAGAGCAATCCTTAGGTTAAGAGCATCAATATGGGAGAAAATGAAGGCAAAAACAGCCTATGTGGAAATAATTTTGCAAATTACTTTGCTGGATTCTCTCTCTTCCCTGCAGTCTGCAGTGGGCAGTGGTGATCACTTTGAAACTCTGAAAACAGTATGACACATTGTTTTGTATAAAACCCTCTCTGACTTAGCAACTTCTCCATCCTTGGAATAAAACAATGCCCCTAAATTACAATGTTTGGGGGATTGCAGGGGTAGCAGTCTCACTGCATTTCCTTCTTTGCATCCCAAACAGTGGCCTGACCCAGGGTGGTTAGTTCAAACAGTGCTGTGCAGGGCTCTGCAGAGATAGAAGCTCCTATGTTGGAAGCGGCATAACTGTGTTAGTGTCCAGCCTTATAAGCGGTGCTCTCATGGGGATGCACTACTAGCTGCACTCTGTTTTCTATGTATTGCAAAAAAGTTTCTTTAATCCTGTCCAGTTGTACCCTTAACAGAAGGGGTTCCCTCTGTCTGAAGCCTTTATTTTATTTTATTCCAGGTCCTTTGAGGACATTAGTTTTGAAAGGAAGGCTTTTAAGTTAAGTTCTCTATCAATGCATCTGGCACATTAAAGATGATAGCTGTCAAAATTGACATCATTCAGCTGACAGCTGCCTTGATGTAAATTGAGTGCATGGTCAGACAAACTTTCCTTAATTCTGGGCTTTTATCAGAGATGCTCTCTGTCATGGAGCAATTAGTGGGAAGTAATCAGTAGATCATAAAGCGTTTTCATTCGCACAGTTGATGTCTAATATTTGTCATGCTTGTGCTGGATTTAGTCACAAAATATAACAATTAATGTAATGGAAAATATCCTCTTGTTTTATTTCGTCCTCAGAGACTGAAGTCTGTTTAATCTCTTTGCTATACTATGGAATGATTACAGTTATGGCTAGGTATAAATTTGCTTCTTTTTTCCTTTTGAATTTACGTACAAGTAAAAGTTTTGAAAGATATGACTTGATGAGATTCATATAGCTTCATTAATTCATGTAGGAAACACTTCATAACTGCCTTTGCAGTCATTGCAAGTCTTATAAGCTGTAAATTTGCCACTTATTTGGATATTGTATCTAAAGCATGCTCTATGTATTTATGTATATACACACACTTAATATATGTGTTGTGTGTGTATGTATACATAAGCAAATATTTGTAAGAGCTTTTCTTGCCAAGCCTCTTGCTTCCATCTCTTTATATGTTATACATACATATGAGCTAAGGAAAGTTTATGGCTCCAAGAGGTAGATAAGTTTTACAGAGTATGTAGAAGCATCCATGTATTTTAGGGTCCTTTACATCACTCATGAAAAATAGGCAAGTTGAAAGGCATTTATTCTCACCTGTCATCCACACTGACAAAAGTTTGCTCACACAGAAAACATACACTATTGGTTTTAGTTCTATGTATGGTGAGTTTTACTTTATGCACACTGAAAGTGATTAACCAGTATTTATTTGTATGGGCAGTACTTTGAATTTAAACAGTGAGGACAGGGTTCTGCTGTTGTCATTGGATCACTGAGTTCACATCTTGTTTTTTCAAATGTCTAGGCATTGCGGTTACACTGAACTAAATTTTAAACAAAAAAGAATGTTTTATGATTGATGCTTTAAAATACTTCTATATTAATATCAAAGGTGAACCAAATCTTTTGATACTCAAGGTACCAAGACACTGTTTCCTTTAACTACTGCAATATTAGAAGACTGTCTGTCAGGGCTGGCAAGAGCTGAATATAGTAGTGAAGAACTGCTGCACGGTTCCTTAGGAATTCAGTGTTTGGGATAACCATGACGAAAAACATCCCACCCCTCCAGCCTAATAAATAATGGCAATAACAGGCAACAACATCATGATTCAGCTTTGCAACTGTGATGGCATATGGGCTTGAAAATCTCACTTAAAAAAACCCTTGTGCCTCTAGCGCAACTCTGTTGCTTCTGGCAGAGGTACAAAATAACCTCTTGACAATGATTTCCATTGAATGCTGGAAGACCTGCTGTATATAGCAATAAGAAGGTGTTAATAACTGGGAAATGCAGTCGGGCATGAACAGGATTAACGGGGATATGTTTTTCATTTTTCTTACAATGATACTGTTTTGGCTGTATTCTGCCACTACAGTACAAGCTGTGTTGACAATAGATCAGAAGGGCACGCTATATTAGCTACTGTGTAGTTCAATTCTTTCTGCATAGGATCTGCATAAAGTTTTTGTGTTCCTCTCTGCAGTTCTGTGTTAGAGAATTCGGAGTAGTTTTTCTGTATTTCTTCATCTCCATGAGCCAAAAACTACCTGTCAAATTTTGACTTGTATTTGAGATCAGAAGCTGCCTCTGATATTTCCTGGCAGTGATGCTGAAGTTGAAGAGGGTCTTACAGTCAAGAGTTTTCACCTGCAGGAATGATTATTTTTCATGTTTTTCCACTTGTTTCGTTTCGTTTCCTCCTCCTCCAAAGCATAGGAATGAACAGTACATAGAATGGTATTTACATAAAAAGGAGACTACAGTAAAAATCTAAGAAATAAAATATATTGTTTTCTGCCTTTCTTGTTGGAAGTATCAGCCTATAATCTCTTTAACTCACTCTTAAAAATATGATCGTTGAAACTGCATTAAACACTCTAGAACTAATGTTAGAGGGTTTGTAAAAAGAAAAGATATTAAGATTCTTATTCCCATTGCATTCTCTACTAGCTGGCTGATTTATGTGCAATAAATGTTTTACTTTCTTTTAGCCACAGTCAGAAAAATACCCAAGCCCTCTTTAACTATCTGAGCCGGGGTTATTTATGTTGCTGTCTCCCTTGTGACATGCCAAAGCAGTTGATGTCAAGTGGATGGTCCTTTTTCCCCCCAAATTCCACATAAATGATATAGGGGTCAGGGCTTTTGCCTTTCAAAGATGTGTTTATAGAAATGCTTCCCAGAGGATGTTCGTCAGTTACTTTTAAAAGTACTCGTTCATGAAAAGCACTAAAGTGCTTGAATTCATGAACCAAGATCTAAAGGTGAGCTACGGTACAGCTAGCGCGCTTCTCATTCTATACCTGTGAATGGAGCCCTTTTCCATAGACCAGCTCAAACCACAAGCTCTACTGCAGCCATTAGCTAAGTTTGCCTGCTGGACTGAGAAATTTATATGCAGCTTTTGCTTTGTTTATACAATATTCTTGATGATTGCAATGCCATTTAATAAAATGAAGCAATTATATACATATAAAATGTATTCATTGAACTCCAAGACTAGATCTGTACTTAATATACTGCCCATGTTCTGGCACAGAGAACAGAATAGTTCAGAAAGTTTGTTCAAAATAGCTATATACCTTTTCTTTTAAAATCTTTTAGGAGTCTCTCCTTAGTGTGACAGCTCAAGTGATGCCTGAGAGAATAGTCTGTTAGAAACAAACAATGTGGAGGCTGTGCTCAGATGATGAGGAATGTGGAGTGGGATGCTATAGAAAAATAAGTTCTTTATGGATGTTGAAGTGCATTGTTAAAAAACAGAATTTGGACAAAGCTGCTGTAAACCTACATTCTGAGTAAAATGATGTACAATTTTAATGTTGAGAGCCCCCCTAAGAATTCTGAGGTGCTGAGTTCTGACCACTGCAATCCTCCTTTGTAAGAAGAGAATGCATTTTGAAATGTGTCTATATTTTTTCTGAGTATTTGCTTCTGAGATAAGTGGGAGATTTAAGCCGGAAGTATGGGGTATGGGAAGATTCAGCACTGATTATATTTCCTGCCTTGGCTGAAGCCTCCTTAGATAGCGTTAGTAATTTTTTTCTTTTTTTTCTTTTTTTTATCATGAGGAAAATTTAAAGCAAGCACTGTCAGGAGTTTGCATCAGGGTTAATATAACAGTGAGATTTCTATTGACTTCAGTTTGATCACACACAAAGAAGAATACAAAGATAAGGCATATTAAGTAAAATTATCTGTCAAATTTGATTCAATAGTTTTGTCCATTCCCAGTATGTATGCTGAGCTTGCCTGTCTCTCTGTAAAGCAGAGGGAATCTCATAGCTTATTCTCAACTATATTAATTTGATTTTTTTTAAGATTTGGGAATATTATAAATTCACTTATTATAGAACTTACACCACTATTGTCTTTTTTGTTTCTTTTCAATGTAGGTTACAACACTAGTGAACTGTCCACAGAATCCTTCTAGTAAGAAAAAGGGCCGTTCCAAAAGAGCTTGTGTCTTGCTAGCTTCTGTGGAAAAAGCCACTTGGAATCTGTTGGACAAGGGGGAAAAAATCGCCAAGGAAGCAATTGTGCTTAAAGAGGAACTTCATGCAGCACTTGCTGATGTCCAGAAAGAGAGTGAGTATATGACAAATAATTACAAATAATTACAAATAATGACAAGGAATTAGTTTAACCATGTAACACTAGTATCAAAATGAAGCTAGGATATCCATGAGAAATATGTTTTCATGTGGAAATGTCTGAACTTTGAGTTGTCTGATTGTATGTTCTCAGATACTGTTTATGAGGAGGTAAAGTGTGCAAGCTGGGCCCCGTTGTGGAAGAACATTTATATCAGTGGAAGTTTTGTTGGTGTTTGGGTTTTTTTTTTCTTTTTCCAATGAAGACAGGATGCCCCTTGTTAATTTCAGTGGCTGTTAAGCACAAGTTTAAGTTAATGCATGCTTTAATGCTCTTCTTCAAAAGAACTGTTTACCTGAATCTGGGATTAAGGCCTTTTAGTTAAAAATTTAAAAACAGAAATCTTCCCTCTTTTGTGTGGTAGTAAGGACTTAATTTGGGAAGGTATAATAGTCCTGTGTGGAGGTATGTTTTGAGACTTTAGTACTGGGAAGATGGATTCTTTAACCTACTGTAACTACTGTAGAAGTCATCCCCTTGTGATAGAGCTTCTCATATTTGGTGAGTTTTGCCATATTCCATTTCCTCATGACCTATCTCCCTATTTTGAACCAGTGTCCCAGAATAGGACTAGGTTTTATGATCTGCTGAGAAAGGTGTATTAGCCACTTTATTTCAGGCTCTTTGTTGCTTTGTTGATTTTTACTCTCCCCATGGATTATCAGGGCCCATTGGGTGAATATGAAGGCCAGGCTCAAATAGTAATAAGCTGGATGACAGACATCCAAAATGTGTTCCTGCAGAGATCAGCCTTGAAAACTGATTCAGGAGAAAGTTTCAGAGGAAGAAGGGGACAGAAGAGTAATGATTTCAGTGCCTGGTCATTCGAGAATTATGTCCTTCCATCAGTGCTCCGTGAATTTTGTAAACAAATGGTTCCCAAGGGTTGCCTGGAATCAGATTAGGAGGGGATGATGAAAGCCTTCCCAAAAAGTGGGAGCAGACAAGCAAAGAACAATGGTCTGTACCATAAAGTTATTGTCAGGCCATGTTACTGAATGAGCTACCAACCAGGCTTGGTTTTATCAAGGGGCAAAGTGGGCTTCAGTTGCCTTTTCACTATTGAGCAGTGTGGTGTATGTTCTTATGCCGTGTGACAACTTGTGCCTGAAGGACCACATGTTAGCCATTTAAATCAGGTCTTTATATCATCCTGCTCTTACTGAAGTTGCAACTTAATCAGAATTTTTTTGTGGGTTGTTTTTTTTTTTTTTTTGTGTGTGTCTTCCTCCATGGGCAGCTGGGGCAGTTTCTGAGTCTCTGCTGTTGTTCATACTAGCTATGGGCTTCCTGTGGATTCAGATATGGCTGCGTTTTAGAGTTTGATATATGCATATGGTATCTGAGATACCTTAAGGTCCTTTGTGATTAAAAGCATTATGACCATCACATATCATTGTTATCTGTCGCACTGATCAGCTGAGGCTTTTAAAAAAATCATTAATTTTGGAATACTCTTAAAATGTTAGCCTATCCATTCCAGGCCAATAACATGCAACAAGAATAGAATACATAGTTTTATATTGATTTTTATACATAGATAATATAAAAATATTTCACATTTTCAGTTTATTTGTTGATTCTCACCCAAGACCAGAGATAACTACAAAAACAAATAATACATAAAGTAGATTATATACACATCATACATTTTAAAAGAACGTTAAGTCCATGTTATCACCTATAATTATGCAATGACAAATTGAGTGTTCACAGCCAATCTTCCTCCAAGGATTTGCCAAACTGCACAAGTTAATTTTAAGAAGTTGGTGAACAATTGTAAAATAAATAGCAGTTTTTTAATTTTGCAGGTATTTTTAGTCCTTTGAAGCTGTGTATTATTTTTAATTTGTGGTATGCCACATCATATGTGACTTTATTGCCTGTTATTCAAGTCACATTCTGCTGCTGTTAAATGTCTCTTGTTATTTACTTGAAGCTCTTTGAAAGGATGTGGGTCGTAAACTGTGCTTGCATGCAGTCACCTGCCATGCGTGTCATAGCATATGGTATTTAATTTTCTGTGCGTATATTTTTCTGTGGTGACTGGCAAGTATTTTTATTAATACGCTCTTAAATAAATTATGAATTTTTAGATGTGGCTACAGCTTGTATTTACTGCATAGTGGAATTTTGAAACAATATTCTAGATAATTTCGGTCTGATGTGAACTGAACTACCAGTCCAAGAGTTGCACGCCAACATCTGGAAAGAATAAATAGTCTCTCACCTCTTCTTGCATTTTAGCTTGTGTCACTCGCTGGGCTTGTTGAGCTCAAGACTGTAACATGAGAATTAAACGCTTATTTCTTTTAAATGTCAGTTGCCAGTGTGAAAATGCTGCTTTGTTACTTTTGGAGCTCATTAATAGGGGTTCCTTTTAGAGGAGTGATAGACTTTTTTCAAGCTGCTGCTGATAATCCTGTTCATAATAATGTTTTGGGGAATAAAGGGGCAAATTATTAGGCTAATAGTAAACAGTGGAGATGAATATGACAAATCTTCTATTTATCTGATGCATTAGTGACTTGTCTAATGTCTTCAGAAATGGGGTCGTGGCTATGGCTTTGCTGACTACAGTTTGGTCTTCACAAACACTCAGTAGATGAGATTTTGATTTCTCAAATTCAGTTGAGTTCTCTTAGTGACATCTGAAAGAAAGTGTTGCTATAATGGGTGGCAGGCATGTTCCCTGGATAAATCTAGTTTCTGCTTCATAGAATCATAGAATGCTTTGGGTTGAAAGGGACCTTAAAGATCATCTAGTTTCAACCCCCCTGCCATGGGCAGGGACACCTTCCACTAGACCAGGTTGCTCAAAGCCCCATCCAACCTGGCCTTGAACACTGCCAGCAAGGATGGGGCATCCACAGTCTCTCTGGGCAACCTGTGGCAGTGCCTCACCACCCTCATAGTGAAGAATTTCTTCCTTATATCTAATCTATAAAATCTTATCTAAAATCTGTAGAAATCTTATATAAAATCTATAATCTAAAGCTGCCTTTGACATCTGCAAAGTTTTACCAAAGATTTATAGTCTTGGAGCTGATCATTTTAATACAGAGGTCCTCCACGTTTTTCTTTGAGTTTCCTCTCGAGAAAGTACTTTTTCAGGCCTATTTCTATCCACATCTTGATTCACGTTCTTCTGGAACTAGGCAGGCCTGTGGCTGGTAGACTGTGTGCATCACCCAGAAATCCACTAGCCTAATAAGTGAAGAACTACCACGTTTTCCTGTTGATCTGGTTTGGTGAAGCTTTGTTTAAGAGTACTCATGTTTACATTTTTGTTCTAAAAGAGTGTAATAAATCCAAATATAAGTGTTTTTAAAAATTCGCACTGCCAGATTTCATGTATACAGCATTTCAAAAAATTGCCTTCTGACTCATAATGTGCTGTGAATTAATGGTAAAATACTATACAAAAGAATAAGAAGCGTTGTTCAACCCTGAATGCTTCTGACACTTAACATCAAACTATAATTAATGTCCTGATTCTGATATTTAATCAATTTTAAGACAAAACAGTGGTGTAGTTTATATGGGGAAACATTCTCTTAGGAATTTGAATTAAAGCCTAGCATTATACTTATGATAATGATTTTTTTGTATTTATGTCAAGTTGTGATTGCTTAGAGTTTTCAAATAGTTGTACAGGCATAGCTAAAATGTTTGGTATTTATTGCCATTGCTTACTGACTATATATGGTCAGAAACACAACAGTTGTTGTCTGCATTGTTTCTATCTATTGCAGTGTCACTGTTCTATGTGTTTAGCTGTTATCATACTCAAGTGTGTTCTTAGATAAGCCTTTCATCACCTGTAACAGTGAATTGAAAGAAAGTCACTTGCTTGAGTTTTGCTTTGAGCCTTCAGTTACTCTTTAAAAGGAAATTAGAAAAAAATAATTTGATATTTTGAATGTCCATATTTAATGTCTTTTGACATTAAACAGGGGAGGCAAGACTTTGATGGCATGGAAGAAACTACCATTCACTGGCAAGAAATAGGGAGTGTACTGAAAGGATATTTACTAAAGGAAGGGCATAGTGATCTCTTGTATTTTACTATATTCTTATTTGTTCCCCCCCCCCCCCCCAAAGTCTTAAACATAAGCTTAGCTTTCTCATTCTATGTTGAGGTACATGTATATGCTCTGCATCTAAGGGACTTTCATTCTGGGAGACAAAATTTAGATATTCAGGAGGCTTAAAATAATCTGTGCTGTACAGCCTCTTCATCAAACCAAGAACAGATCCCCTGTAGAAAAGCTTCTGATACCACCATCGCTGGATCAGGTGTCCCTGAGTGGGAAACGGGGAATGAAGAGATGTGTGTAAGGCATGAAGGGGGTGTGTGGTGGCTCTGATTTCACATTAGGAAGAACTGTTTGACATGTGGAAGTGGAACTTCCTGGTATGCAGCTGTGAAATAATTGCAATGCAACAGAATACAGTGGTATCTGAGTGGGGTAAGAGACTGTGTGGCAAGAGAAAAATGTCCTGTAACATCTACAGAAAGCTATTGTGAGAATCTGAGTTATCCTGGTGTTGAATATTGGGAACATGCAGGAGGTGTCAATCTGCTTTGCCCTGACACTGATAGTGTCACTTCCAGCTAGCTGGCTGAAGCAGAATCCTTTATTTGCTGTAGCAGATGGAGATGATATTTGTGGGAGCAGAACAGGTGATTACACTAGTGACTAGTATTGTTTAATCTCTTGTTTTTAGAAAGGGTAGGTTGTTTTGTGCTCTGATGGGACATTGACTCCCAACCTTCTCGGTACTGATTCTGCGTATCTGTTAGTTTGTGCTTGCAGAACTTGAGGCTGCAAATACTACTGTAAATCAGAGTTTATAAGTTTTCTATTATTGGTATAAGCCATTGATTCCCCCCCCCCCCCCCCCCCTTTTTCTGACAACACGTGTTGA